CCATCGCACACTTGCAGCATCCGTTCAGTGTTGGCCACCTGGCTATTTTCAAAGATTTTTTAGCTATATCATTAGAAACTTGCAAAATAAAAACAAAAACTTATAATAATAAAAAGGAATATTAATAATTTTATAAATTTATTTTGAGTGAATAAAGCAAATAATCTAAAACCTTAAAATATTCTTAAATTCATTTTTTCAGTATCTTAAATTAATTATTTCTTAACCATCTTAAAAAAACTAGTTACACTATTTTAAAATATATTGAAAAACGATAATTCCTATCCCAATAAACCTTCGATTTTATTTCTCCAGAAGTAGCCAGAATTTTTGCTAAGATTTGACAGCACTACCTGTCACTTTCTCAGGTTGTCGCAACTACCTGGCCGCCCCGCCCCCTTTTTTCGGACCCCCGCCCCCGCCCATGGACCGGGCTGTCATTCCCTTTCCTTTCGGCCTGTTACAATTTTAATGCGTGTCCGCTGCGTCAAACGGCATAATAAAGCAGAGGCGGCGGCAGAAGATGAGGAGGAGGAGGAGGGGTCAGTAGTTGTGGCGAAAGAATGGAAAACTAAATGCATGCATGCGTGCGTCTTTTATATTGAAATAAAATAGCATAAAAATGGGCAACTAATGAATTTTCACAGCGATTCCTGCGGGAATCGACCTTCGGCCCACTTCACTTCTGTTCCGTTTTCCCTGTTCGGTAGTCCCTGCTTCCTGGTTTCTTTTAATACACGGAAAATAAAGTTTAAATTTTTAAGGATTTTTAAACAGATTTAAAAAATATAAAATATTTATTAATAATATTTTAAAATAATCGAAGCAAGAGTTAAACATAAAACAATCTTAACCAAACGGACATACAAATCACTAAATATTTTTTCCAATATTTATTAACCTAATTTTGTTGTAATTTTTATATAATAATAGATTAATAATAGACATTAAATAAAACACTAAGTCACACCTCTAATTTATTCTTACTGTGTATTCTGAGCAGACACCCAAGGAAGCCACAAATGTACAGAGAATGAAAATGGGTCGGAGAGAGGTATTCACGTTAATCGCCAAAACCCGAACCCCATTCAAGGGAACAACAACAGCAAAAAAAAACCACCCACCAGGGCAACAAAAGGAAACTCAAACCGCAACACTCGACCACCCACCGCCCAGCGCCCACCACCCCCTGACAGCAGCCATTCAACCAAATGTTGTATAAATGTAATTCAATACTTTTTCAATCTTGTTGCCTTTGCCGGTTACTTTTCCCGCTCACTGTTACACTTACCGCTATTCACTGAAAACAATTATTTAAATTCTTTTCTATATTTTTTATTTTGGTAAATATACTATGAAATATTATATTTATTTTTTAGTACTTACTATTGCCTTTAAATTTGAAGTTAATAATGATGAATATTAAACATTAAACAAACATTTTTTTTCAGTGTTCCGAGAAGTGAGAACGACGGAAAATAAAAATAGGGGGAAAATGCTGCTAACATAGGTACAACAAATTGGAAACACATTTTACCCTCCAATTACTTAAATACAATACAAACTGCGATTGATGTTGTACGGGCCACGGTGGTCTTGTTCGTCCTTCGTCCTGCAAATGTTTACGACTTTTAAAGAGGGGAAAGATAAGATCCATATTTGTGACATATGAAATGCAAATAGATCAAATTTCTTTGTTTTTTATGACTATAAAAATTCAAATTAAATAAATACAGAATAATAAATATTAAAAACCGTTAATTAAAAAGTATGAGTTCAATAGTAATTTAATGTTTTTTAGTACATTGGTTAACTTTGAAAATTTTCGAAAATGGTTACCCCTCTCCTGTCATTTTGTCAATCTGACAGTCGTGTCTGTCATTCATGCACGCTTCACGACAACAGGTCTCTAATTTCACCTCGCCTGTCTGCGCTTTCTATCCCTACCACTTCGTAAAATGCACTGTGCCCCGGTTTTTACTTGATGTTGATGGACGCACTGAAAAAAAAAAACATACTCATAAAAATAGTATAATAGTGGATATACACAAAAGTACTAAATAAAATTAGAAGTACCAGAAATAGTAGTAGTAGTAGGAGAAATAGTAGTAGTATTAAAAGAAATAGTACACACAAAAAAATTTGCTTGGTAAAATTGACAAACAAAGATAGTTACGTAACTATTAAAATAGTTACGTGTATTTTGTTTTTGCTTTGGGTTTGTGTCTTTGCTAATTGTGTGTATTTTGTTGTTGTGAAATGACTATTTACTTAGTAGAATTGACAATTTTGCTGGTTGGGGCATGTTTGACAATTATTACAGTTGATTTTACTAAGTTTTTTTTTTGTGTGTAGTAGTATTAGGAGAATTACTAATAGTAGTAGGAGAAGTAGTATAGTAGTAGATTTGTTTAAAAGTAATATATTTTATTAAAACATAGTAGTAATTTTTTTCAATTTTACTACACTACTTTTTCATACAAAATATAAAACTTAATAATGCAAAACCTTTATACAAACTAAATAACTTTTATAGGGTTTATTATGGGATATTTATTTTTTAACACATAAAAATGTAATACAGTTGAAAACGCAATTGTTATCGTTATGTTTTTAATAATCATTTTCTTTCTTTTTCAAATAACATTATTTACAAATTTAAAACAGATTTTGAATCAAAGCTAAATCTGTTTACAAAATATTTAAAGTGTTTGGCTTCTTTTCGAGTCGTCAAAAAGGAAAGGAGATACGCCAACCCCCTCCCCGTTTCAGCCCCTGCTTTTTTTGCCACCCCCCGCGTGGAGTGGGTTTTTGTGAGCGCTAATAGATTTTCTATTACCAAAAAGGGGTGGGGAACTGAGGGGATGGGCGGTGTACCGCACCCGTTCACACGCATGACCGAATTCCCATTTTACGCCCCGTCTCATCCGGGGCCATGGGCCAAAAGTCCCAGCGGAATCGATGCGGCATTATTATTATCATTATTAAAGGAGTCGATATGGCGATGGCGATGGCAAATCCCGGCCAATGCGAATAATATGCCACATGTCCAACCCACGTCTATTTACCATTTACCATTTGCCGCCCCCCGTTTACAAAAGACACAAGCGGCGACCGCAATTTGTATCTCCTCTCGAGTGCGATGTTGCACATGTCAGTATTGAGTAGTTGCCAAGATTTGCAGCCCAGTTAAATGGGTTAGTTACAATCAGTTGGGATTAGTTGAAAATAATAAATTAATTAATGAATTTCATATTAAAACAATGTTATAGGGTTGAAGAACAAATTCTATTAAATACAGAAATTTATTAATTTAATTTTTAAAATATTTTAATCAAGAAAGATAATTAAATCAAAAAGAATTTCATATTAAAACGAAAATTTTAGGGCTTACAACTCATGCGCCTTGTAAATATTTATTTGAATTAAATACAAAAACAAATACAAAACATAAGTATTAAATGGATTTAATTTAAAAACATTTAAATCAAGAAAGAAAATAGTAGTTTTTTGGCATGTCTTATATTTAATAAAATAGAATTTCATATTAAAACAATATTATAGGGTTAAATATTAAATTCAATTAAATACAGAAATTGATGAATTTTATTTTTTAAAAATTTTATTCAAAGAAAATAATTTATTGAAAAAAAATGTCATATTAAAACGAAAGTTTTAGGGCTTGGAATTCATGTGCCTTGTAAATATTTATTTGAATTAAATTCAAAAACAAATACAAAACATAAGTATTAAATGGATTTTATTTAAAAAGATTTAAATCAGAAAGAAAATATTAGTCATTTGGCATTTCTTAAATTTAATAAACTAGAATTTTATATTAAAACAAACAATATATCTTTTTCTGTTGATAAGTTAGCTGGTGTTTATTTATTTTTAAACCAAAACAAGTGAAATAAATCCAGTGCATCGTAAATATATGTAGTGGGTGTTTTCAGAGTAGTTACTCCCCCTAAATCCCCATCGGCGCCCCTTTGAACTGTGTGTGCGTGTCGGCCTTTTGAAACAAATTGTAATTAAATGAATGTATTCCATGCAGCAGCAGCAGCGATTCAGATTCAGAGCCGCAGGCAGGATCTCGTCCTCGGTTCGCTTTCATTCCCGGGTCACCATGTCAACCAGGGATTCGATTCGAAAGGCGGCAGGTGGAAATGGAAGTGGAAATGGAGGTGGAAATGGCAATGGAAAGGGGTCAGCAGCAGTTGTTGTGGCCGCAAGCATTTTTCCACTTATCCGGGATTAGTAAAAATGGCACATTAAACTAAGTAAACAATTATCATCGGTGGGCGAAGGAATAATATCTGTCAGTTGGTTACCAAAGGTAGCAATAACGACGAATTCAATCAGCCGGATGGCTTGCAGAAATAGTTAAGAATAGGACGCATCTCTTTAATTATTTACACAAAGCTGACCTAGAGTGCAAAACTATTTATACTTTGGCTTTTATAATTAATGAGCAATTTATGGATAAGTTTATGTTTAATTTAGACTGCATTCTTTAGATATTTCCTTATAAAAAATAAGCAAATTTTTTGATGTCATAAAAATCGGTTATTATTTTTTTATTTTTTTTTACTTTTTTTAATTAATAATACAAAAAATTGTCTTTAAAAACTAAAAAATAAAAAAGTTTTATTGCAATTCAACTTTTCTTTAAGACCGGTTTATACGTTTTTTTAATCATAGTTACCTATACTTTATTAATCATATATTTTAATTTTTTAAATAAACAATTATTAAGGTTGATCGAGTGGTTGAGATCCTGGGAAAGTGCAACCACTGCTTAGCTGAGTTCCCCACCCAGCCGATAGCCGACAATCGATCTATCGATCGCGGCAGCGAATCTATTGGCGGCAATCCGCGCCCACAACTGCCATCGCTAGTGTGTTTTCAGCGCCTTTTTTTCAGCGCTGCGCGAGGCATAAAAACAATTGAGGGATTTGCTTGGGGAAAAGTGAGCCGTGAGACGCAGGACACAGGAAAAGGAAAGCAGCAGAATGCCCGCCGGCATTGCGAAGACCCCGATCGGCGGCCGGACGAAGGAGGCGCCGGTGGCCAAGTCCGCGGAGAGAACTTCCAGCGGTGGCAAGAAGTTTGTGCAGACGCGTCTGCCGTTCAAGTTGTTGACTCCAGGTGGGACATCCTCCTCTTCCGCCGCCGCCCCATCCTCCTCCTCCTCCTCCTCCGCCACCACCACTGTGATCCTGGACGAGGAGGAGCCCGCTCCACGCAAGCGGAAGCTCTCCTACGGCGAGGAGGCGCCTCTGGAGGAGCTGCGCCGCTCGAACAGCAAGGAGAACCTCGATTTGGCCAGCTCCAAGGCCACCAAGAAGGTCAAGACCACCGATTCTTTGGCGGAGGACGTCATCGAGCTGGATGACGATGATGAAGATGAGGCTGCTGCTCCGGTTGACGAGGCGATGGAGGAGGTGGTTAAGACAAAACCCAAGAAAATGGAGCCCAAGAAAGCGTCGCCAGCGCCGCCCATTCAAATCAAGCTGCCGCTGGTGAACAAACGATCGAAGCGCAGGAAATCGCTGAAGAAATCCGAGGAATCCCTGGACACTTCGGCCAAGGAGGCGACCAAGGAGGCGGCCAGCGAGTCCAGCGATGATATAGAGGCACTGGCCGAGGAGCTCAACCCGCAGAAGAAGCAGAAGGTGCAGAAAGCTGCAGAGAAATCCCCTCAGAAGAGTCCCGAAAGCAAGAAAACCGAGGAAGAGGAGCAGGAGTTCACCCAAAAGGGAGAAAAGGAGTCCAAGAAGCAGGAGGAGCCAAAGAAGACGACCAGGGAATCAAAGAAGGAAGAGACCAAGGCCACAGAGCCCCAGAAGAAGAACGATCAGTCCACCATAGATCTCTTTATAGCCAAGAAGGTGGAGAAGCAGGATTCCCAGCCGAAGGAAGCCCCTCAGAAAGACGCCATCAAAGCCCAGGGAAAACCCAAGAAGGCGGAACCCAAAGCAGCGGAAAAGAGCAGGAAAGAAGACCCCAAGTCGCAGCCGCAGAAAGAGAAAGAAGAAAAAGATTCAGCCAGCAAGAAGAAACCAACGGAAAAGAAAGCCGAAGAATCCCCGGACCCCGCTGAAATCTCGGTGATCCTCTCGAGCAGCGAGGACAACAGCTCGAGCAGCGAGCACGAGATGGATGTGGACACGGACACGGTGCCCAAGGAGGCTCTCCACCACCGGAAGAGCCTGCCCGCCGAAACCAGCGATGTGCAGAAGGCTCTAACGCCCAAGCAGCAGCGGCTGCTGGAGCAGCGCAAGAAGGCGCGCGAGGAGAAGGAGCAGAAGCTAGCCGAGGAGCGGCGCCACAAGCAGCTGGAGAAGGAGCAGCGCGAGCAGCAGAAGAAGCAAGAGCGCGATGAGAAGGAGCAGCAGCGAAAGCTTGAGAAGGATCAGAAGGAGCAGCAGCGGAAGCAGGAGCGCGAGGAGAAGGAGCGGAAGCGGCAGGCGGAGGTGGACACGAAGAACGAGGAGAAGCGCAAGCGCAACGAGGCCAAGGAGGAGGTGCAGCGCAAGAAGGACGAGGAGCGGCGCAAGAAGGAGCAGGAGCGCGAGGAGGCGGAGCAGAAAAAGAAGCGGGCGGCGGAGTCCTTTACCAAGTTCTTTGTGCCCAAGCAGATCAAGTCGGGAGGCAACGTTGGAGGATCCCTCAACACATCCTATCTGGAGCACGAGCAGAGCAGCTGCGACAGCTCCAAAACCAGCAGTCAAACGCTGGCCTTTCGCCCGTTCCAAGTGAAGGACGACATGCTGCTGGCGCCCATTGTGCGCAATTCGCTGGCTGAGGAGCAGCGCTCCCAGCTGGACAACCTCTTCAGGCGTCGCGATGAGGAAGATGAGGATGAGGAGGAAGAGGAGGACATTGTCAGGAGGAAGCCCCCTAATCGAGCCCATCTCTACCTCAGCGAACTGAGCAGTGGGCGAAGGGAGCCGCTCAAGATGCAGCGCGATGCCCGCCTACAAAGGCGCACCAAGGATGAGGAGGAGGAGGACGAGGTCCAAGTGATAGGTGGGTATATATGTAAACTAGAGCCCTGCATTCCATTCAATGAATTATTTGGAATTTTTGGAATTAATTAGAATTTTGAGTTTAATAGAATTGAATGAAAGAATGTCATGAATTCCGAAATAATTCAAACGACAATTTCTTTTGAAGAAGAAAGGGCCATAATAGGAGAAATAGTAGTAGTAGTATAGTAGTAGATATTTTTTAACAAAATTAAATATTTTATAAAAACAGTAGTAATTTTTTTTAAATTTATGACACTACTTTTCCATACAAACTATCGTTCTTTTTTTAATAATCATTTTTAATAACTTTCTTTTTCAAATAACATTATTTACAAATTTAAAACTGATTTTGAATCAAAGCTGAATCTGTTTACAAAATATTTAAAGTGTTTGTCCTGTTTTTTTAAGTTTTTTTAATTAATTTGAATTTTGAGTTTAATAGAATTTAATGGGCCATAACTTTGTGATTAAATCTACATGCATTTTATTTACTAAGCAGTTGACATTGATTTGTTAAAAATTTTCAACTTTAGTTCAAGAAATTCATAAAAATTATTCATTCAATCATTCAATTCGAAATGAATTAGAAAAACATTCAATTTATTGCATACTATGATAAACTAATAAGCGAATCCTAACTTTTAAATTCGATTCTACCCCCAGATGATCTGTCCAATGCCGGCCTGCCCATCGAGGAGGAGCAGCCCAAGCAGCTGGCCAGGATGCGGGCCAAGTATCTGCAGTTTGCGGACAACCGCAGGCCAGCCTACTACGGCACCTGGCGCAAGAAGAGCTTGAGTATCTCCGCTCGTCGCCCGCTGGCCCAGGATAAGGTGAGCATCTCCCCCTATTAAAATAGTTACCAGATCAGTAACCTTTCCCTAACCTTTAGCTACACTTCGACTACGAACTGGACTCGGATTGCGAGTGGGAGGAGGAGGAGCCCGGCGAATCGCTGAGCGCCAGCGAGGATGAGAAGGAGCGCGAGTCGGAGGAGGAGTCCGAGGAGGAGTACAACGAATGGTATGTGCCGCATGGCCATCTCAGCGACGAGGAGCTGCAGAACGATGGGGAAATGGACGAGGGGCATACGCGGGAGGCGCAGAAGGCCAAGCTGCAGGTGCTGCAGCAGGAATTCGCCCAGGAGATGAAGAAGCAGACGAAGAAGATCAAGCCGCGACTCCTGGGACCCGTTTGGCTGGACGAGAATGGCAACAAGTCGCAGCTGTTTCCTGCCATCTTTGCCCACACCATCGACATGTATGCCTGCTGGCAGCTGGAGGAGCCGCTTAGCCTGGAGCCTCCACCGGAAACGGAGCGCGAGGATCAGCCGGGCGAGCAGCCAGTCCAACTACACCTAGACGAACGCCTCATGCAGCAGCTGGTGCGTTTGACCCACGGCAATCGCAACTCGAAGATGTTCCTGATCAACGAGTATTTAGAGTACCTGAAATCCCAGGCAGCCAACGCCGCCGCCACCGTGCTGCCCTCGAAGGCTGTGCTGCGCGAGAAGTTCGATGAGCTGGCCAGCTGGAAGACCGTGGAGATGGGCACACCAGAAGCTGCTAATCCTGCCGCGAGCAGCGCCAAGAAATCGAAGAAGCCGAAGAAGCGCCTCTGCTGGGTGGTGGCCAGCGAAATGCTGGACAAGTTTCAGCTGCCCGAGTTGCCGCTGCAGAATCAGTGGGACTATACGCTCACCCCAAAGATCAGCGAGGGTGGGGATGCCGCCCAGCAGCAGCACGAGCAGAGTCCGCCGGGGGAAGTGGAAGGTGCCGCCGCTGCCTCGCCTGTTGTAGCGACACCCACAACGCCAGTTAGTGGACAGGAGACGGCAGCCAAGGGAGCCAAAAAGCGGGCCACGCTGATCATGTCCGTGCCCAGGGATCAGCCCATACACACGGCCACCAAGAACAAGCTGATCAGCCAGTTTCTGCGACGCCAGAGCGATGCAGCCAGCAATTCCGGCCAACAAAAGGAAAAGGAAAAGAAGCCACCCGTCGTCGCAGTCAGCGATGATGTGGTGATGCTCTCGGACTAGATTAGGATAGGCTTAGGATAGATAGATAACTTCCAAGAGAGAAACCTTCCTGCTAGGCGTGTGTATTCAAAATATTCAAAATATCCAAAACATTTTTTTCATTCGTTGTAAGTTGATTTAATTTTTAATGTTCTCCCCGATGTACGTTCGACTTGTATGTCCTCCCCAAGCATTAAGCATCCTCACCATCTCCATCAACCACTCATCTGTAGATCTGTTTGGAGGTTCAGCGAAACGAGTACTCACTAACTGTAATTATCTCGGTACGTTTCGATCGCATCGATGAACCATCTATACATATATAGTATATATGCAATAATACATTACCCCATGATCTTTTATTCGTTGGCTTTCTTGGGATAAGACTGGGAATGAAGGATAATAAAGAGGATAAATCGTTGTGGATAACGGGAGCAGGCGATAATCCAATCAAAACCAGTTTTACATAATTTTTGAAAAAAATTGTGCTTTTTCTGGATGGTTTTCTTCATAACTTGGCCAAAAATGCTCCCACAGTAAAAATAATGACTGATTTGAACAACTGGCGTCATTGGCTAACAATCCTCATCGTTTTCTGAACGATTTTCAAAAATTAATATTTTGATCAATTTTTGATTTTTTGGTAAGGGGTACCATCATGATTTTTTGCAAAAAATGTCAAAAATTAAAAATTTCCAGGTTGAAATGCCAATCGATTGGGTATTTTATTACGAGCTCAACGAGGTATGACATTCCATATTTGGATTATTATTGGCATTTTTATGACCAAAATCATAATAGTAAATACTACTTTTTTTGGGTGAAAAGTCAAGATCTTGATTTTTGGTAAAAATTTATATTTTTTATTATAGATTTTTTGCTGTAACTTGGACAAAAATTGTCTCAAATCAAAAAGGCGCACTGTTTTGCGCAGCTTACGACCTTATAATTAATATTAGTGCATTTTGCGACTGATTTGAGAAAATTAATTTTCGACCCAATTTTCGCTTTTTTGAAAAGGGGTACCATAATCATTTTTTTCGAAAAATGGAAAAAAATAAAAATTTCCAGGTTGGAATGCCAACCGATTGGGAATTTCATTACGAGCTCAACGAGGTATAACATTCCATATTTCGACCATTACTTCCATTGTTTTGGCCAAATATGGGATTTTTCGGACATAAAATATGGACTTGAATTTTCGACGAAAATAACCTTTTGTTCGTGGTTTTTCAGTCGTAACTTGGAGAATTCAAGGTCCTCAGCCAAAAGAGTGACTGTTCTTATTGTTTTTCAGGTGTAACTGGCCCAAAACGTGTCCCAAACAGAATATACGTACTCTTTTATTTATTTTTAAAACTTGTTTGTTTATTCTTTTTGCCATTTTCGTTTTTTCATTAATTAAATTAATTATTAAATATACATTTAGTTAAGATTCCCGACAAAAAATGACCGTGGCTGCATTATTTAAGTGAGTGTGTCGTGTGTGGGGTGTTGTGGTTGTGTTGGGTTTAAAAACGTGGACGTGGACGTGAACGTGTGTCGTACAGTTAGATCTGCAAGATCTGCAAGAGTTATCTCATCTACATTTATGTATATACGATTATCCATTAATTATTGCTATTGTAATCGTTGTTTAATTGTTTTCCGCCGTCGATGCTAATTAACCGCTTGTCCCGCCCCCAATTACCCCTTCCCCTGTCGAAAGTTCGCTAAGCTAACTAAAACCCGAGCATTGTGAGGAAATCTCAAGATAAAAAAGGTGCGATTACAGGTTATTTTTGAAATAACCGCTTGTTGGAGAGGATGGTGCCAAGGGAAAGGGGTTCCGATTCCAGTTCCTATTCCTGTTCCTGCTCCGCTCACAATGCTGATTTACAAGATCGCACATTTAGCTTTGTATGTACATAAATATGTATCGTTATATTATATATAATAAGGCAAATATGACGAGGGTCAATGAAAAGTGGAATACACATCATTCGGGGTTTCTTTTTAGCTTTAGTTTTTGAAGAGGTTGTAAGTACAGTGCGTTTCGGCTGCATAAAACCAACAGTTTCTAGAGAAGTATAAGGGAAATTTAGTAAGTAAGTTGGGCACACGTAAGTACAAAATATTAGTGTATAATTCCTATTACACCTATGAAACGCACTGCCTGAACGTATTTGTGTATTGTCACAGAAACCAGTCATCAATGTGTGAGTGTATATTTTCTTTTTGATTAAGTTTAAACAGCGAAAAATCGTTAAGTACTTAAAATGTAAGATCAAGTCATTTACAAAATCATTTTTGCATGTTTTCACAATTTAACACATGTCAAGTTATTGAATATTAGGCATGTTCGTTTGAAAAAAAAATCGAAAAATTGAGGACAATGAAAACAATTATATCGCAAAACCTAAGAACACTTTGAAGTGAATATTTTTCTTGTCGTTTAAAACAATTATACTTTTTTGTAGCCTACTAGGAATAGTTCCGAAATACCGTTCTCTTCGTTCTTTTACAATGTAAATAATAGCTCTGATTTCTAACAAAAAAAATTAGTTAATAATTGTCCAATCTATAAAATCGACCCAGCCTAAGGTTCTTCTTTTTGATAAGCGCTTTGTTGTCCTTCCATCCTTTTTGATACTCAATTTTTTGGTCGTCTTGTCTTTTAGGGTACCGCCTTCAATCATGTGTCCTCCTCCTCATCCTCCCCCTCCTCTTCCTCCAGCTGCGAGTCACTGCGTCAGGGCAGCAGGAGCGGTCGGAAGTAGGCGCGGCAGAAGATCGTCGATGCCGAGGGCGGTAGATCCTGGTTGCGATAGTACATATTGCACTCCCGCTCCGTCAGCTTGTCGAAGACGGCCGCATAGTCGCGATGGAATGTGGCCAGGTCCACGTTGGCCCGTCCAATGGCTGTGAGGGCCAGGAAGAGGATGTCGCGGTAGAAGGAGTGCGATCGCTCCACGCCGTTGCTCTTCAGCTTGTGCCGCTCGTTGGCCAAACGCTTCAGCGGAGTGGCAAAGTCGTTGCACCGAATGGCCGAAATGATTTGCTGAATGACACTGCAAAGTGGGATTTATAATATTAAACATTTATATATTTAAGAGATCGGGCGATCACTCACTTCTTGTTGAGCTGCGCCTGGTCGGTGAGCAGCGGTTGGGTCTCCCTGTACAGTATGTACATCGGCGGACCACTGGCCTCGGTGTGCAGACCGAGGTTGTCCCACAGGCACTGGATGTGCACCGTCTTCACCTTGCTCAGCGGATCGATGTGCTCCTTGTCGCTCTGAATGAGGGAGGAAATCAAGGGGATGAGTTGTGTTTTATTTACATTTTTTAAATCGCAAAGTACCAATTAAATAAAAAAATTAAAAGTAAATAACAAAACGAATTAAATTTAAATTTTCAACAATTATTTAAACAGTTCTAATTGTTAATTGTATTAGATGTTAGATATTTTAATTTAAATTTTCAACAATTATTTAAACCGTCAGTTCTAATTGTTAACTGTATTAAATGCTAGTTATAAGTGTAAAACTCTAATATAAGTAGGGACCTACATATTTGCATTATTCTTAATATTGTTTATGTGACCAGGAAATAAGAAAGACATAAAATAACGGAAATAACTAGCACATTAAATTAAGAGTTTTGTTACTTGTAGTGCTAGGATGCAAAATAAAAAAAAAATAATAATAATAGTAATAATAAATAAAAAAAATAAATAAATAAAAAACAAATAAATAAATAAATACCTAAATAAATACAAAAAAACAATATATATATAAATATATATATAAATAAATAAATAAATAAATAAAAAAACAAATAAAATAAACCCCTAATAAAATTTCCCAATCGATTTACTAACCGGCACGGGCAAACAGAGCTCCGGCAGGTGCGTCTTGCTCTCGATGCGCTCCATCAGCCAGAGCAGATTCCAGTAGATGATCGGATGCTCCTCGACGAACTCCGGCTTGATCAGCGCAATGTCGCCCTCCTGGGTGAGTATGTTCTCCAGCTCCTTGCGCAGCACCAGCGGATTTAGATACGGCACGGTCAGGCTGGACTTGTGGCTGGTGCCGTTGGAAACTGCCTCCTCGTTGCCATCCAACTGATCCGATTGACGCTCTATTTGGACACTGAGGAAGGGCACCGTGAGCTTGTTGCAGGCATGGCAGGTGGTGTTCAGATTGGAGTCCTCCGCCGTCCAGCCGCTCATGATCTCCTCGTCGTAGACGAGCACCGAGCAGTTGTGGCACTGCGAGCAGGTTGTCAGCTGGATCAGCACATCGCACTCTCGATCCGCGGCGCTCTGAGGGATGGGAAATCGTTGAGGATTATTAATTTGAATGCAAAATGAAAATAACAAACACATGTCATTTGTGTTATTTACACGACATGTTTTTTACACAGCGTGTTTTCAACACGATGAGTTTTTGACATTAACAAAATTAAAAATGCAAGGTTTTCGAGAGTGTAAGAATTCATATATGCTTTGAAATGGTTAAAACTAACATATTAGATATCGTGCCCCATATTGGCTTTTCATTTTACCTTCGACTCGTAATGTCAGTGAAATGTAATTTTCATTTGTGTTAAAAACACAGTGTGTAAAAAACACGTCGTGTTCAAAATACATTGAGTTAAAAACACAAGTGAGCTGTGTATGTTAACAATTATTTTTCACATTTTAACACTTTTGTAAAATAAAATTTTTCATGTTTTTAACATCTGTGTCAATTTCAGAACCCTGATACGAACTCACCTCGCCAATCAGGCTGTAGAGATTGTCGGGCAGAGCGGGAAAGGCGTGCATGTGGAGGGCGCCGGTGGAGCTATTCTCGCCCAGCGGCACCAAGTTGTTGTAGCTGGACTTGCGCGACTCGCTCAGTCGGCCCCAGGGATCCAGGTCGCTGGAGACGCGACGCAACTTGCCCTCCTCGTGGACGGCGGCGTCGTGCTCCTCCTGCTCCGGATTGCCATGCTGCTGCTGATGATGAAGATGATGGTGGTGGTGGTGGTGGTGCGGATGATGCAGGCCATGCTGATGGTGGCCGTTGTTCGTCTTCGTCGGCGTCGAGTTGGCCGAGATCACGCCCTTGATCTCGTCGAACTTCTTGGTCAGCGAACTGGCCGCCGATTTGATGCTGCTCAGGCTCCCCTGGATCAGCTCGTTCGACTTCTTGCCCGTCAGGCTGGGACTGCGTTGTACGGATAACATGAGTTAGTCGGGTTTTTAGTTTATTATCATGGGGAATATATTTTATAGATCTATGTACAACGAAATAAGAATGAAGTGGAGCCAACAGCAGCTGATTTACTAGGTATGGATATTTGGATATATTTAAGTTATTTTTTACCTAACTTTATAACACAAAAAAAACATTTTTTATAAATAAAAATTTGTTTTTAGAATTTTAATATATTTTGATAAATTTTTATGTTTTTATTTTTGTAATGTTTTTTATTTTTCAATCTAGAATCTATATTCTTTTTGTTTAAATATTTTAATAAGTTATTTGACTAATAAAAAACTATACAGTCCTAACAGAGAGTATTATATTATCTTTTAATCATTATAATAAATATCATAAATATTTTTTGTTAATGTATAAATTTATCTTTCTTCATAGATCCTATAATTTTTTTTCAGAATTATTTTTAAAAGTTATTGGACTAGTAAAGATACTTATTTCAACTCAATATTTTAAAAACATATACATATATCCAAGCTATCGAAAATCAGCTGCTGGTGGAGCTGCTATATAATATGGTGGTGCGGTGCTTGTGGATGGCCGTTAGTTAGTTAGTTCTTTTTTGAATTATTTAACGATTTAGTTAGTGTGGATGCTATGCGTGGCTTTTGTCAAACCTTGAATTGCCCGCCACCAACGAAGTTTTACAGGGACTTTAAACCATAACCATATAACCATAACCAAAACCAAAGGCGAAACTCTGCGGAACAGCATTTCGGGGTGTGGAACTTATGTGGAACACAAAACGAAAACAAGAGGTTAGGTCTCTGTTGTGTTGTGTGTGTGTTTGTTCTTGTTGTGCCGCTGTGTGTTGTGTTAGTTGCCGCAAGTAAATATATATAAATATGTGTATATATAACTGAGTTTTAAATAATATTAGTATTTTGATATTTTTAAAGCAGTACAAGCTAGCTGAAACATTGTTTTTACATTTTGAAAATGTTATCTTTATTTTTAAATATGAATAAAAGTATTTTTGAAAATTAAAAAACAAATTTAAAATTTTTTTTTTTAATTCGGGACAAATTCTTTTCTATAACTTTATGTGTAGAGCCCAATGAATATTCAGAAATGAAAAAAAAAGTACTGTTAATACGGACTCAACAATAGAACATAAAAACCAAAGATATCTTATCGCCAACCCTTAAACCATTTCAAAAACTTCCTTCACCAAGAGAGCACAAATTGAATTGATTAAGATTGTCATGTGGAAAGCAGCACAACACACAATTGGGTGTAGTTTTCGGATATGTGTGTCTAGAAGTTCTCTAAGAAAGGTCTCCACTTACCTTATGCTCGATATATTTTCTATAATATTGGCGGGCAATTTCAAGTCTTTCTTAAGGGACAATCGTGCGGGTGAATAACGTCTAAGATATAATTATATATATATAATATGTGAAAGTAAATCATAAAACAATTGTGGAAACAGAAACGAGTTCGATTTAGAGGTAGGTAGATAAAGATTTCAGTTTTTCAGATCATTTGATTGGATTTGAATAAGTATTTTGAATTAATATGCTTTAATTTTGACCACCAAATGATGTGAAAAGTAGAACTTGAAAATTATCGATATTTTCGATATTTTAACAATATGGATTCGATAATATTGATTAATTTTTTTTCCAGCTCTTTCTCTAAAAACTGTAGAAAGCCAAGGATAGTTATAAAAAAAATACAAAAAAGGTGATTGGACGTGGAATGCTTGTGGAATCGTGTGTTCAGATGAAGGGGAAAATGTAGGAGTAGGGGAAAGCTGGAAGGCGGAAGGCCGGAGTTACCCGAACGTGAACTTCAGCGAGGATCCGATGTTGGCCAGGCTGTTGGTCACCCCGCTGCTGGCCACCGGCATCGTCTCCGAGCGGTGCATGCTCTTGCCGATCTGCGTGGACTCGTCGAAGGTGGCGCTCCTCTGGCCGCGGAACAGGATCGGCTTGTCGGTGTACATGCTGCTATCGATCTGCGACTGCTGCTGATCCTGCTGATCCTCCTGCTGCTGCTGCTGTGTGGGCGTGGCACTGGCGGCACTCGACTCCTCCTCGTTCAGAGCGCCCAGCGGATCGTTTTGGGTTACGGGCGTGCGGGGCGAGATTCTGCGAGGGGGAAAAATACAATTAAATAAGTAGCAAATTCAATTTTTGTTTTATCATAGAATGCCATAAAATTTCTGATTTGTTGTTCAATTCTCTGTGAAATAAATTGAATTTTTTTCTAATTCATTTCTAATTGAATGAATGAATGAATAATTTTTATGAATTTATTGAGTTTACCAGATATTTTTGTGCTTTTGAGAACAAAAAGTGGAAAATTTGTAACAAATCAATGATAACTGCTTGGAAAATAAAATTCATGTAGATTTATTCACAAAATTATGGCCCTTTCTTCTTCAAAAGAAATTGTCCTTTGAATTATTTTGGAATTCATGCCGTTCATTCATTCAATTCTATTAAACTCAAAATTCAAATTCATTCAATTCTATTAAACTCAAAATTCGAATTCATTCAATTCTATAAACTCAAAATTCAATTTCATTCAATTTCAATAATTCAAAATTAAAATTTATTCTATTCTATTAAACTCAAAATTCAAATTCATACAATTCTATTAAACTCAAAGTTCTAATTAATTACAATTCTTTTAAGCTCAAAATTCATATTCATTCAATTCTATTAAACTCAAAATTCTAATTAATTAATTTATATAAAACATAAAATTCCAAATAATTCATTGAATCAAACTCACTTGGTTGGACTCTGCACCCGCTGACGCGCCCGCTGTGCGGCCACATGCTCATCCACCTCATCGTCGTCCTCCTCGTCCGCCTCGTAATCCCCGCCAGCGGCGTATTCCAGCCCATCGCCGCCCGCCTCCAGTTGCTTTTGCGGCGTGCTCGGCGAACCAGTGGTGTAGTCATCCTCCTCCTCCTCTTCCTCATCCTCCTCCTCGTCGTCATCGCCGCCAATGCTCATGATCTGTTTGCGCGGCTGCTGCTGCTGGAGGGCCTTGGCCAGGATCTCGGTATCACCGCCATAGGTCGGTGTATTGGGTGCACTCCTCTCGCCAGGGATAAGCAAACTTCCAGCCTCGTTATTCCCACCCGTCACCGTCTGCCGCACAATGCTGCCCAGCTTGTTCCTCAGCCGATCGAAGGAGGCAAAGTCGAGCAGCCCATGGCCACCACCGCCTCCTCCTCCTCCATCGCCGCCCGTAGAGGAGGCCAAACTGGTGCGCGACTGTCCATCGACCGTCTCCAAAGTGCTGAGGTTCTGATCCTGCGAAGCGCTCAGCGATTTGTTCACCTTCGAGGCGGCCCTCTGCTTGCCCGCCTTGCGAAACTGCGCCGCTCCGAGAACCACGTTCTTGATGCGATTCCAGCGAATCTGACTCAACGTAGTGCTATCCTGCGGCCACTGGGACTCCAGAACACAGCGATTGTAAAAGCCATAGGTCAAGGCATTCGCCTGCACGCCCGAACGCTTCATAAGATAATGCAGACGAACGGCCAGAACGGGTAGATTGTGGATGCCACACAACTGCATCATGATGCGGTAGCAGAACTCATCGCAGGTGATCTTCAGGCGACTCGCTCGCACGAGAACATCGTAGGCGGCGCGCAGAATCTCGGGCTCCTTGCCCGCATGCCGCTGATCCAAAACCATCGAGGGCAGGATGAGGAAGTACAGCGAGTAGCAGGTGGCCAGCAGGTACTTGGACCAAGCCTCCGGATGCTGCTGGCAACGGCTGGCCATTTTCTGGGAGAGCTTGATCTCGTGCTTGGTGCGCCGGGCAATTGGCGAACCGGGCGAAAGGGAGGCGTTGAGCTGCAGCTGCAGGAATTTCGATAAAGCCGTCTTCTTGCCGCTCTGCAGGAGTTCCGGCTGCAGCGTAAAGTTCTCGTAGTTGTAGGCGAGGCCAACTCCTGCTCCTCCTCCTCCTCCCGCTGGGGTAACGCTGTCCGGCGGAAAGATATACTTGGTGCGCTCGCTATTCTGGCCCGTGTCCCAGTCCACCAAATGCAGCTGAGCGGGCGTCTCGTCGTAGTTGCCCACTTTTTCCGCACACTCGTCGAAGAAGCTCAGGCCATGATCGCCGTCCGAGACGAAGGAGCGCTCCTCGATGAACCGGATGAACATCTGGGTCTTCATCATCAGCTCAAAGAACTTCTGGTGCGACTGTTTTGGGCGAAAGAAACCAGAAAAACCAGTAAGAAATCAGGGGAAACTCTGAAATTTCTCGCATTACCTTATCCCGCGATCGCAGAAACGCCTTCAGCTGGAAGAGGGCACTCGGATCGGTGGCTCCCACCGATGGCGCCTTGGAAATGGGCACCAGAAAGTCCCGGTAGCCGCGCAGAATGCTGGCCATGAAGAGCAGGAAGGCCTCCTGGATGCGCTGCTCCAGCACCAACTCCCGCTTCCGCTTCCTGATGTCCCGATCCAAACTGTTCGTGGAGTCGTAGCTGATGGGCTTGGCGTTCTCCAGTTCGGTCAGCGTCTGGCGGAGAAGCCGGGCGGCCCGTTTTGGAAGCAGCTTGGGCGACAGGTGACGCTGCGATTCGCACAGCTGGAAAAATAGCGAAGCCATTATTATTTATTTATTTAAATTACGAGCACTACAAGTTAAACTTATATTTTAATGTGCTAGACACGTGAATTACAATACTTTTTGATCAGAATAATTTGGTAAATAATCTTAAAAACAAATAAAAACACACGATTTTAAAATTTTCTTCTACATTTCAAAGGGTATAAATAAACACAATGTGAGAATCACAATCTGTGAAGAAACGCTTCCTGCTCCCTGTTTTTATTTTAGGAGTAACTGGTAGGTATAAAAACCCATAAAATATAACCCCCAAACTCACGCTTATGTTGTTGGTGTCCAGATCGATGCAGGTGACATCCGTGGGCGGCTCGTACAGATCGAAGAAGCGCGAGTCCACGCCGATGAGATAAGGCAATGGGGCGTGGAGCACCTCCGAGAGGCCGAGCGGACAGAGCGGGATGTAGGGGCACTGCCATTTGAAGGGGAACAGCAGGGAGACAATGGCCTCGGCCACAGCAGTCAAGGTGGCAGGTCTGCAAAGGAGTATAAATCAGTAGTTAATGGCTAGAGAGAGACACTCTAAGGAGAAGGATCTCCTACCTGAGTGAGTGGATGAGTATCTTCTGTTCGGTGAGGGCGAGGAGCAGGACATGCAGACAATTGTCGGTGCCCAGATTCTGGAGCAGCATGTGAAACCCGGCGCCACTACGCGGCAGCGGCGAATCCTCCGGCTGGGTGAGCAGAATGCGATCGTTCGACTCGCTGGACAGCTGCAGATGGATGCTGGGCGCCGGAAAGGGCACTTCGTCCAGCAGCTGGGTGATGTAGCGCTCCACGGGAATGGGTATATTAACGCCATACAGCACCATGCGCTGAAAAGAGGTAACAGGATGATATTTGGAAGATTTTAGGGACAGCAAAGCAGGGTTTGGAAAATAGCACACACTGTAAAACACATATGTTAGAAACATAAATAACACACACATGTCATTTGTCATTTACACGATGTGTTATTAACATGAGTGTTTTTTTACACAGCGTGTTTTTAACAAAATAAGTTTTGACATTAAAAAATTAAAAAAAAAAATTTCTAAAGTATAAGAATTTATATATGCTTTGAAATGGTTAAAACTAACATATAAGAGATCATATTCGTTTTTTCATTTTCCCTTCGACTCGTAATGTCAGTGAAATGTAATTTTCATTTGTGTTAAAAACACAGTGTGTAAAAAACACGTCGTGTTAAAAACACAAGTGAGCTGTGGGTGTTAACAATTATTTTTCACATTTTAACACTTTTGTATTTGACACACATGTCAAAAACTTAGCTCACACTGTAAAATACAATTTATCATGTTTTTAACATGTGTGTCAATTTCCGAACCCTGCAGCAAAGTATACTCACATGCAGGTACTTGAGCCACTTGTCGAAGGTGTCGCCGAAGGGATGATGCGACAGCAGGCAAATGGCCTTGATCATGTGCAGCGAGTGCTGGCCACCGAACTCCTCGTTCCAACCGAGCAGCTCCTTCTGCTCCGCCGACAACTGCGACTCACTGTAAAGAATTATAGTTTATTTTTGATAAATTCTTATGGCTGCAAAACCCACTCGTAATCCTCGTAGAAGGTCAACGCCGATCCGTAGACCTTGTAGGTGCCATCATTAACCGTGAGCACAAAGGTGCTGAACACCGGACTGATGGGCTTGCGCTTCTCGGTGCCGTTGACGTGGGGCCAGGCCTCCAGGGAGGCGCCCATCGGCAGGCAGAAGAGCGGCACGCTGGGGCACAGATTCAGCGGGAAGTCGGTGTGATCGACGGTGGGGTAGCGCAGCAGGATCTCCGGCTTGTAGCTGATGTGCTTCGGCCGGTACATGGACTTCTTGTAGCACAGATAGACATCGCTGCCCACATAACCCTTGTTCAGCGTCTTGTAGATCAGGCAGAAGGCGTGCGGAGCCCGTTCCCCTTTGCTCTGGACGATGACGCACAGCTCGGTGACCACCAGTTCGTTGCAGGGCATGTCGGCCCGGGCACGACGGTAGGTGAGGAAGGTCTTCGCCGACGAGTTGTTCACGTTGGCCACCCGACCGCCGGGAGTCTCGGCCACGATTTCCGCATCCGACATGATCCGTTCGTGGCCATCGTACAGGACTCCTGGAAAAAGGGGTAAATTATTAATATAATAATAATATAGTAAAATAAAATTTACATATATATATTTTTTAGATTTGAAGACCTTATTTTTCCCTACCAAACTTAAAATGTTGGCTTAAATTATTGTAAATATAATAATAATATTATAAAATTAAAATCTGTTCTCTGTTATATATATATTTTTTTTTAAATATGAATGACCTCCTTTTTCTCCACCAAACTTAAAATATTGTGCGTTCTTCTGCCTGATAACAAAAATATGGGGTAGATGGGTTATATTTAATTTAAATAAATTTCTGTTTATTGACTTTATCTTGAACCATGTCGAGATTACAACCTTAGGGTTTACTTTAGTTATCTGGAAAAGCAACAAGGCTCTGCTTTGATTGATGAAATCTACTTTAAAAACATTTTAGTTCTCGGAAAAACCCTAACAGAAGTTGGTTTTTAGATCACTGAACGAATGTGGTTATAAAACTCTAATTATAATTAATTAAATTATAAAATGTATTATATTTAGCTTGCGTTAATTCATAATTTCTTATTCATTCTTTTCAATTTAATATATTATAATTTATTTCTGGGAAAAAATAAAAATAACTTCAAAAATACTCATAAAAAGCTTAGATTCATGAAATATTTTGCAGCTAATCTTTATAATTTGACGTCTTAAAAACAAAAACTCTCATAAAAAAGGTCAGCAAATTTTCTACGAAGCTCAGCAAATACAGACAGATTGGGAGAACCACCTATCAGGCTATAAAATAACTGACAATAGTCATAGGAACTGATTCTTGAACCCACCTATGTCCACCAGCGGGGGGCGATCCTTGCCCCGCCGGAAGTAGATGTAGCAGTCGGTGGTGCGGACCGATCCGTGGTTGAGATTCGCCTGCAGACCGGTGGGCGTGTGGGCAAGGAGCTCGTATCCCTCGGGCACCTCCTCGCCGAGCAGCGGAAAGTAGACGCCGATATCCGTGATCGGTTCGATGGTGCTGGCTGCCCGCAATCTTCCCGAGTCATTGAAGCTGTTCTCCTGCAGCAGCTGCGGATGCTCCGGCATTCCGGCGACCACAAAGTAGTCGGCGATGCGCTTCTCCTCCATGACGGCGCCGTTTCCTCTGCAAGAAGGCAGCAAAAGACCGGGCGTTGAGTGGTTAATTCTTGGTGCTTGCAGGGCAGATAAGATAGGGAGACAGACAGACTGTGGATACCAGTGGTACCAGTTGGGGGCTGCTCCCAATCCCATATTAATTAATATTTTTCGTTCGGTTATCTTCAGTCGGGGCAAAGTCAGTGGAACTTCCGAGGAGCGATTCGATAAGTGACACAAGAAATCGTGTGATCCCCATTTAATTTTTAAGACATTTATTTAGGCGTGTTCTTTGGATCACGAATGAAAGCCAAGTAAATATAGCACCCTATTTTAAATTCGCAACAATTTAAATAGTAAATAAAAATCAGCTATACATTATGCAGAAAGATTTCTTTAAAAAAATATTTTCTTTTTCTTTATTGGAATTTCGATTATTTTTGATTATTGAAATTCCGATTATTTTTGTATATTGAAATTTCGATTATTTTTATTTATTGAAATTTCGACTATTTTTAATTTTTACGATTTCTTTTGTTTACTGAAATTTCGATTATTATGTTTTTCCAAGTATTTGTTTAAAAACAAAGTCAGAAGATTGGTAAGAGATATATATATAGCAAATATATGTATGTGATTAGTTTGTGATTTAAAGTGATACGCTTTTTCATCATATCCTATCGCATTACTCACAAAGAAGAACCGCAGAAAATCTTGGTTATTTTGTGGGTGACCCACTGGCGCAGCCAGGTGACCCCGACCACGGCCAACGAACCAACGAACCAATTCTACCAACCTGAGGCTTCACTGTATCTACATACATACATCCCCGCGTGGCGCAAAATTCTATTGTTTACATAGCCCGATAAACTCGGATTCCGATTGGAATCGCATGCATTTTGTAGCTCTGACTCTGATTGGACTTTGTATGCTGGCTTTTTATGCTTCCAACAGCAACAACAACAAATGGAGCTGGGGAAACAAGTTCCGCTTGATGATTCAACTTCCTCCGCTTCCGTTCCACGGCAACAACAACAACAATAACACCTTTTTTGTTTGTGTTGATTGCTGATGCGTTGTTTTTGTTTACAGGAGTTCCAATTGGAAGGGGGGTTCAGTTCAAGTTTGGCCAAAAGACAGGGGCGTGGGCGGAAAAGGGGGGTCTACTTACTGCACTCCCGTTTGTCGTCCTCCTCAGGGGAGGAAGGGGGCGGGGGGCGTGGGCTTTGGGGCAACCTTCAGCTGCTTTTGTTGTTCGCCTTGGACTGCAATTGTCGCTTTTCCTTCGCTTTTCTTCTTCACACTACGTTAATTTCCACACACCAACACCGACACGCACACACACACGCACACGCACACAGTTGAACTACTTGGGTTTTCCTTTACATCATTTTCGCACACTTTTCCGACGGCTGAAGCTCTGAATTAATTCGATGTATTTGTAGCCACTGGTTAACTGCACAGCCCCGAGCGGCCAAGGCTCTAGCACATTTACAAATAGAGGAAAATTGACAATTTCCAGATTTTGACCACCTGATATCGATTGCGGAACCACTATCGATTAACCACCATAGGGATGGGAGAGCGCCTGCGAGGTGGAAAAGCATCGATATCAGGCAGACGATAGTAAATCGATAGTGCCAAAAGTTTTCTTTTCGCGCCCACATTAAATTCAAACTATAAGGATTTCATTTGAAATGAATTACCAGAGGCAACCCTAAAATTCAGATTTATTAAGCTACCATTTTTCTTTCAGGGTTGGCATTCTTGAAAAAAATCCTACGAATTCTAGCCCATCTAGTAGTCATAGCGTGAGATAAAATTGTCGAGCATTTCCTCGGTTGAATCCGAATCTTCGGACAAGTCCTCCACGAAGTAGGTGTCGGAGCAAATCTTCCAGTCGAAGTCGTCCTCGACGTCCAAAATGAAGGTGTGCTGAAACTTGCACGGCAGTCCGCCGTAGTCAACGTTGCCGGTGATATCGACTAGGTAGTCCGATTTGGAGACGACATGGGCGTGCATTGTGATGTAGCTATGCTTGGTCGGGGGCAGGCCCATGATGAGATTCAGGATCTGGTCGCGGCCCCTTGTCCTAGCTCCCTGCCAGGTGTTTTTGGCATTCTCATGGTACAACTTTCCCATTTCCTGCGGAGAACATGGGACTACAGGATCCGGCAAAAAAAAAAAAAAAAAAATGAAGGCCGGCAACTTACTTGGCGTTTCTGCGGGTCGTCAATGGATTCGTAGTAGATCCTAGCGCCCTCCTGTAGCTGGCTTTTTATTTGCTGCGGGGTAATTCATTATTTTTCCCAACTATATGGGCGAAAATTGTATAAAATTTGTTAACTCACGTCGTTCATTTTTCAACCTTTCTCGCTGATTTTTAGTCGTAGACTAAATTATGGCTGCCAAATGTCTATGACATTACCAAAGTATGACCCTTTTTTTCGAAAAATATCTGGTAGATTGGATAATTCCAAGGTGTGTGCACATTTTCCTTTTCCTTTAGTTTTAATCAGGGCTCCTAAATATCAATTTTATTCTAAAAATACTATCGTGATTTTTGTTTTTAGACGGTTTTACTGTTGTCTGCAAATCGTCGAATTTGGAAAACCACTGAAACATTATTAACTGACTTCTTAAAAGTTTGTAAAAACTTACTTAAAATGTGATTTTTGGTTTTAAACGGTGTTACTGTTAACACAAATCGTCGAATTTGTAAAACAACTGAAACATTATTAACTGACTTCTTTAAAGTTTATAAAAACTTACTTAGAATAGTTATCAAAATAAATATAAATTTTAGTGTGCCCTTTTAACGGCCCCTGATTTTAGGTTATTTAATTTTAAAATCTTAATAATAATCTCCTTATCCTTAAGATTAATTTAATTTAAAATATTAACTTAAAAAAAATGCCCAGTGGAGTCCAGCTATTTCACCATCGCCCGTCACTATTCGATATCGATTATCGCACCATAGCTAATCTCATCTCTAGGCACATCGATAGGCCGGTCAATGATTTTGCCATCTCAATTAAATATAAAAATGGATACGAATTCAGGGAAACCGAAACGCTCTTTTAAGCGGCCCTTTGCCTTCCCCAAGAACTGTGTATACCGCCCGCTGCGGCAGATAAGCAACATGGAGCGGAACTTAAAGCTGCCCGCCGACAGGCCCACCTGTGAGTGCTGAAAAATAGGTGCTTTACTTTAGCCTATTTAATAATTACCATTTCGCAGACTTCACGCTCAATGCGCCGCCCTCGCTGGTTCCGGCCAAGAAGTACTCGGACATCAGCGGCCTGCCCGCTCCCTATGCCGATCCGCACACCAAGCTGCGGTTCGCCAACGCGGACGAGTACGCTTCCATGCAGCACATGCCCTCGGACATCATCAACGGCTACCTCACAGTGCGCGGCTACACAAGCGCCGTGGGATAGATTTATCTATATCTACAGTATAAGATAGTATAGAATAACATAGCCTAGTATAGTATATACCCCATGGGCCACTCACAATAGCCAATTACGTAGCTGCTGACCTTGCTTTTACTGGCATTGCGTGCGAGGCTGACTAACTAAGTGACTTCCTAGCTGGATTACCATATAAGCAACTAACTTTAAACCTTAAAAACTCCCCTATAATATTTGCTTTCATAAATACAAGGTGAAATGTCTACCTTGAGTGTTGAAAATTGTCAAAACTAACAAAGAAAAGCTGCCACATAGCTACTAATAAGTAAAATAAATAGTTTACCAGGCAATATAAACAAAATTGTGTTTGCTAGTTTGTTTGTCTTTCAATATTAAACGAAAAAAACTATATACTGTAAGTTAGCTTTAAATAAATAAATAAAAATATAATAGTCTTTAAATATTATCAAAAAATCACAATAAAGTTAATGGAGTTTTTATTTAAGGACGTTTTATAAATGTTTTACGAGCTACATTTCTATTATAATATCATTCGCATTCGCATAATCATCGTTATTATTGTGTATTTAATTAGCAGCTATCAGAAGTACCAAAAGCAAGTTTCTAAAACTTTTGTAATATTCGGGGCTTCTCTTCCTCGTCATTCCTCATTCGAGCTTGCTCCTCCAATGGTTTTTAGAATACCAGGAACCGGACTAGTGGCTCCGTGATGCGTTTTCTTTCGTTTGTGGCAGTCGACAGTTGGTTTTTTTTTAGGTTTTTAGATGCTAGCCGGCCTGATTGATGGGCCGGCTAATACTGTTCGGCTGCGTGAGCATCTGCAGATCGGAACGAAAGCTCCTGGGCAGCCCCGAGATGTCCAGCTGATGCTTTAGCACCACCATCGTGGCTAGGGTCTTCAAAGTGGGCTCAAAGTCCAGCACATGCAGATCGCTGTAGTCGATGAGCGTTACGCCGGGCGGCACAGTTGTGGCCGCAGCTCCAGTTTCTGGCTGAGATGCTTCCGCTGCTGCTGGGGAACTGATCGATCCAGAGCTACTGCTGCTGCTCCTGGGACTCGTGCCGCCGAACAGGAACATCCGGGTGGCCATCACAATGGCGCACTGCCTGCGGCGAGCCGTCGGCGCCTTGCCATTGCCCCTTATCAAATTCCAGAGCTTGGTGCGCGGATCAAAGGTATACAGATCGTTGAAATGCTGATCGAGCAGCCCGTTGTAGCCGCCAAAAACGTAGATCAGCTTGTTGTACACAAACATACTATGACTGCGACGGCCCACGGGCACCTTGCCCGCCGTAAATGGTCGATGCCAGACCTTGGTCTTCATGTCCAGGTAGACAATCTCATGGCAATAGGTCTCCTCTTGGCTGTGGTAAGGACTATGCTTATCCCCGCGGCCGCCAAAGATGTACATGCGCTCCTGCTCGTAGGCCACAGCCGCATGGAAATCCCTGTAGCTGGGCGGCACGCCAAAGGTCTGAACATAGCGCCATTCCATGGTGTCCAAATTGAGGCTATGCACATCGCTGCTGAACTCGTTGATCTCGTCGACGAAGCCGCCAAAGATGAACATACTGTTGCCGATCACACAGGCCGAGTGGCCATCACGGGCGCCAGGCAGACAGCCTGTGACCTGCGGTCTCGACCACTGGGCCGTCTTGGGATCAAAGCAATACAAGGCATTGCAGAGATTCTCGTCGTTGCGACCGCCCCAAATGTAAATGCGCTCCTTGTAGGCCACCACCGTGTGGCCGTAGCGCTGGAAGGGCACCTGGGGATACTTGAGCGGCGCTCCCGCGGCGTCCAGCTGCTGGGGAACCAGCGACCAGCGCATTGTGTGCGCATTCAGGACATGCACATCGATCGGCTCGTTGTAGCGATAATCGTAGCCGGTGCAATAGCCGCCGAAGCTGTAGATGAAGTCGCCCACGCCCACCGCCGCGTGATTGACCCGCTGCGGCCCACCGTCCAGGTGCACCGTCCACAGCATTTGAATGGGCGGAGCAGGAGGAGCAACTTGCTCCTCTTTCTCAGCACTCGCAAAATGTAAAACAAAGGAAGGCAAGTGCGTTGTTCGCTTTGTGCCTGGGGGGTGGTGGCCGTGGGCAGAAGGTGGCGGCTGGCGGGTGGCAGGTGCAGGGGGTGCAGTGCGATTGAAGGCCACACAGGTGTAAACGCTGATACCAAAAACGCTCCACTCCGCTCCGCTGCTAAAAAAAAATTCAACTTTTTATTGTTGTAGTTGGGCGTTGGCGATGGGCGCGTGACTGTCATTCGAAAAACAAACGATAAAATGCACGGCCTCCACTGCGGCACGGGGATGGGGAACTATCGCTTGAGTAAGATGTGAAACTATCGAAATTTAAATTTTGGTCAACATAAATAAAAAACTATTATTACCGGAAAATGGAATATTATTTTATTTTTATTAAAAACTTCATATCGCGTCTTGACTTTTCCTTTCCATGAAATATTAGTTACGTCTGAAATAGTGTTACTTTTTTTTGGCAATAAGTCACAATGCAAAGTTTTGGAAAAAATATAAATTTTTCTGGATGTTTTTCTTTATAACTCGTCCAATAAAGGTCCCACAGAAAAAAGAAAGACTGTTTTGAATAACTATTGATCACAATTTTTTGCAAAAAATGGAAAAAATTAAAAATTTTTAGATTGAAATGCCAATGGATTGGGAATTTCATTACGAGCTCAACGAGGTATGACATTCCATATTTTGATCATTATTTAAATTTTTATGACCAAAATACTACTTATGTTTCGATGGAAAATCAGGATCTTGATTTTTGGTAAAAATTCGATTTTTTATTATAGATTTTTGGCTCTAACTTGGACAAAAATGGTCCCAAATCAAAAAGGCAAACTGTTTTGAGCAGCTTACAACCCTATAATTAATATCAGTGCACTTTGCGACTGATTTGAGAAAATTAATTTTCGACCCAATTTTCGCCTTTTCGATAAGGGGTACCATCATAATTTTTTGCGAAAAATGGAAAAAATTAAAAATTTCCAGTTTGAAATGCCAATCGATTGGGAATTTTATTACGAGTTTAACGAGGTATGGCATTCCATATTTGGACCATTATTTCCATTGTTATGGCCAAAATACTGTTTTTTTTTAGATGAAAATCAAAATCTTGATTTTTGGTTAAATTGTAGCTATGTAGCTATTTAGTCAACCCAATGCGAACAGCTAAGTAGTTGTAGTTTTTGCAAGCTTAGTTGCGATATTTATTTACTGCTGTATATATGTGTTTATATACGTCAAGTGTTTGTGTGTAAATTAGATTGGTTGTAGTACAAAAGTTATAACAAAATAAATAACAAGAAATCATTTAATACAATATTACGCGAACATACATTATGTATATGATGCAATCTATGCACATTTTGGTTTACGAAGGTTGCTGCTCCTTAATAGCAGATCATAAAAAAAAGAGGAGACGGGTAGGAAAATCGAATCGGAAATGCGAGGAGGAGGAGGGGAATAGGGCAGGGTAGGGGTTCCGATCCCCCCTAGACATTCGTGGGCGCGTCCATGCCGCAGATAACCGACTTCACGACCGAGGCCGCCGAAATGGCTGCGAAATTCTGCCACTTGCGGGTGGAAGTTCCATCCTTGTAGTCGGCAATGCCCTTCACCAGAATGAAGCTCTCCCTGCAGTTGCCGATGATGCTGTCCAGCACACTGGACATCTCCACATCGGTGGCCAGGAGGCCGTACTTGCGGGCGAACTGGGTGCGCAGCTCGTCGCTCCTCACCAGATCGCGACCGGATCCAATGGGTCCCAGGTGGAGGCGCAGCCTATTCACCCCGTCCACCTCGTCGGCGGCAATGGGATGGGCCACCTCGATCACCTCGTTGTTGCCGATGTTCATGAACAGCTTGTCCGTCCGCCCATCCGGCCGATTGAAGTCCGCCTCCGTTTTCTGGGCCAGCGCCTGCTGGGCCTGGTTGAGGTAGTCCTCCCACGGGCGCTTCACCTGCATGTTGGCCTGCAGGCTCTCGGCGATCTGCTGCAGCGAGTCGTTCACCGGGAAGTAGGTCTTCACGTCATCGCCGCTCTTGTACAAGTACACGTAGGGTTTCTCCTTGCTGTGTGTGTGGAAAAAATAGGAGGGTTAATTTCTAGTAATATACCATCCTAAAATAGGGCTTGAAAAATATTGATATTTATTTTTGTGATTAAAACATCGATATTATCGAATCAATGTTGTGAAAATAACGAAAATATCAATAATTTTCCAGATCTATCCTATTTATTATGTGATTTCCCTTAAAAACATCGTTATTATCGAATCGGCTTTGTAAAAATATCGAAAATATCGATTATTTCAAGATCTATCCTATTTATTATTTGATTTCCCTTGAAAACATCGTTATCATCAAATCGATATTGTAAAAATATCGATCGTTTCAAGATATATCCCTGATTTCTTTTGAAAACACCGTTATTATCGAATCAATATTGTGAAAACATCGAAAATATCGATAATTTTTCCAGATCTATCCCATAACCCATCATTACCTATTGCTGATCAGCGCCCGCTGCTTGTCCACATACGAGATGACCACGTCGCCCAGCCGCACATGCTTCTTGTAGTCCGTGTAGTGGGGCACACCACCGGCCACGCCCACAATGAAGACGAAGTCGACCTTCTGGAATGTGCCCAACAGGCGGGTGGTGGTGTTGCCCGTCGCCGTCATCGCCTCCCGATTGCTGCCCACCGACGGCAGCTTGGTGCTCACGATCCTGTGCGCCCCGATATTGCCCAGGGTATAAACGTTCGATTCGCCTGCGGGAATAGAGAAGATATATAGGTTAGTGGGTTTCGGGGTTTACGTGGTTTACGCTCAGGACAATGATATTACACCAGTCACAAAAAGAAGATAGATGAGAATCGGATCAGATATAAAAAGAAATACTTAGAAAATAAAATGGCATAGTGAAAATAAATATCTGCATATTGAATTCATAGATTTCTATTTAATATTTAAATCCAATAATATTTAAAAAATATTTAAATCAAGGTAGAAAATATTAAATTAAAATTGCTATAATTACGTTATTGAAAAAAAATGGCACTTTAAAATCAATATAAATATTATAATATTTAAAACTAGTAAAAAATTAAATGGACAAAAACATAGCGAAAAATATTTAAATTTAAAAAAGGAAATCTTTGGACTTACTACCTTTTTTGTGAGTTTATTTTTCAAAAATTAAACAGCTTTCTTAAAGATTCTTTTGTTATAAACACAATATAGTATTTTAAGATTGATTGTTAACCATTCAATATATATAGACCTATATAAATAGATGAACCAAGTGCGTGACGGAGCTAATCAATCCGTCTAATGGTGAGAGTTACACATGTATGTACAATATAAGGTTATGTATCCTAGGACAATCCTTTACCATAACAACAACCAAATAAAGTGAAACACAAAACCGAAACCGAGACGATACAACACAGACACGAAAGTAACAACAATCAAATTATTCTAGGCCAAGTTCATAACTTTCTAACCAAGTTTATGGCTAGTCATTCGAGTACAGGACTCACTCGATAGATGGAAAGATCGAAATACCTATGAACTTGACCTGGATTTCTATGGGTGCGTCGGAATTTAGATGTGGATTCTGGACATTTAGCTTACCGAATCTTCGTTTCTTTTTGGACTTTCTGAGTGAGTTCGTTAGATTGGGATCGGAATCTGTTACATGGTTTTGAATTTTTGGGTTCAGGGGAAGGTGAAATGTTTTTTTGTTTTTGGTTTTTTTATTGCAGGCAAGCAAACCATCGGCAAAATTGTATGCAAATTCATTCGGTAATGGTGGTAATTTCGTGGTGATGTATTTTTTTTATATTTTGGCCACCGGAGTCGAGGAGTTAGGGGAACAGAGAGAGAGAGGGAAAGAGAGAAACAGAGAAAAGATGGTTAGGCAAGAGATCGATTAGTAAGAATTGGGGATAAGGCGACGACGCAGAGTTTCGTTTTGAACCTTAATCGCCAATCGATAATGGCAATCGGTAATCGTGCAATTATGCGATTCCTTATCGAACTAGAGAACCTACCGACTGTGGTGTATCGGACAAATGTCTCCTTGTTCTCGAGCATCGCGTCCACGGCGAGCTTCTCGCAATACTGAGCCGTGATAATGGCGATGGTGGGCTGCTTATTCGAGGCAATCGTGGGCATCTGCTTGACCACCTTGATCTCCTTGTCCTCGTGGTGGATGCGGGTGTACGCGTTGTACTCCATCGACTTGATCAGGCCGCGATCTTGCAGCGACTTGATCACCAGCAGGACATCCTGCTCACTCCAGCCGTAGTCCCTGGGGAAAAAGGAACAGATTTCATTACAAATAAGCAACTAGTATCTTAGGGATAAGAAATACTAAGTGATTTTAGCTTTGATAGGATTATTATTTTTTAAGAAAAAAGGTAAAACGTTAATAATAATAATATTATATGTACATTTTAAACTGTTCTTGGAAACAGAATAATTAATTTAAAAAAAATTGTTAGCTCTTGAATTTATAAACATCATTAACTTCTCATAAATAAATAAAAAATTAATTAATTAAATGAAATTTATTAACCTGGATAGGATTACTATTTTTCAAGAAATATGTAAATAGTTTGTGGAAAAGTTAGGGATTTTTTGAAGGAACTAGAATGTTTAATTTTGTAAATACATTTTTATTTAAGTTTAAAAAATCAAAATTATATCCCCTTTTTCCTAATATTATATGTTTTAAGTAGTTTTTAAAACCTCTTAATTATTTTTAACAGATATATTATAAACTTGGTAAACTACTCACTTGGCCAGATCCTCGGGGGACACGGGATTGGGATATGCCTGCTCGATGAGCTCCAGCACCTTCTCCTGGGTCAGCGGTGGAGATTCGAACTGGGATTCCTCGAGAGAAACTGTGCGAAAAAAAGGCAAGGGAAACACACGATTAAAGCACAGGTTCGGGAGTTCCCTACTTCCAATGGTTGGTTATTCATTTAGCCAGGATTTTGTTTCTGTTAGCGAGCAATGACATCTACTCTGAGCGGTGGGCGGTGGGCGTGGCTGGTTAGGC